TGTTCGCTGCTGATGGGCAATATCATTTCTCGTGTTTTAAAAGGTTGCATCATCCCCCAAAAAAAATCGACCCCTATTGCACATAGCTTGATTATTGTGGTGAGGCCATCGTCGTTTGTATCACCCCTACAAGTTGGTCTGACAGCGTTTATATATAAAAATAGCGCGCAGGTTGATTGATGTGCTATCATCCTTGGGTTTCTGTTCGTCGTACACAGAAGCTACACGTCTTAAGGTATTATCAATAATGCGTCCCCCAATTGAACTTTAACCAGCCTTCTCTCAGATGGTGTACGACAACGCCGATTTTAATGTGCTGACACTTGACGGACGCAACACGTTTCACACAATGGGCGGCATAATATGTGTAACACCAAAATCTACAGTGGTTCCTCGTCGACCCATCGCTCGTTTGCAGCAACTACTGACAGCCGATGAGGTAGCAAGTGTTGGAGCTGTTGAATTAAAACCATTTGAACGGATTGGCAGCAATCAAGATCAAAGATATCAGTGTACTGTTTCCACAAAGCACGATTGTTAGGCCCCTATTGCCTCACTTGGTGTGGCTGTACTGCAAGCATATGTAGTTTCCAGGAATTGGTGGATGGACCGGTCTTATGGAAGAAGTAACGAGATACATGCCATATGAAACCACATGCATAACCAGCCAACCATTTATCAACGGTCCTCCTAGCAATTATGATACGATCTAAATCCACATAACAGTGAAAGAACATTCTTATTCTCAGAATATTCCCTCAAAGTGCTGTTTGGAATGTTCTTTTAGGAATGTTTAATGAATATTCTAAGATTGTTTCGATTGAAATATTCATTTTTGGACGTCCTATCTATGTACTGAAAATGTTGCTTCTATGCACCTACCTGAAAGATTGTACTAAGAACCTACTTTATATAACATTATCTGAATATTGTCATACGAACATTATTATAATGTACCCTAAACAATGTTCTTTCGGCTAATATCTCTATCAAGTATCAAGAATATACCTTCCAAGTTGTGCTGAGAAGTTTATGTAGGTAGGTACCCTGATAAGAATATTTCCATATTGTTCACCTAATTATCTAAAGTATCTACTCAAAAATCTTAATTGAACAATTAAACAATAATGCTCTATCTAGAACCTACTAAAAATATTATAGGTATATTCTTTCTATTTTGCTTTGTAGGACTTCCAAGAGAGGGAGCCACGCGCTATTAATGATCTACATCTTGCCTCGCATTTGAATCACATTGGAACCTCTTTCTCTCAGTTGGCGTGCTTACCGCGACGAGAGCATAATAAGCTCGAAACCGGAGCTTTGGTTAAACACTTGTGTTTTCCAGAGAAATTTTCCTACAACTCTTTCACTGCCTTTAATATAAAAGGACTGAAAGGACTGAAAGCAGCATTATTTGGTTGGATGCGAAAATTAACATTCCAAGTTTGTCCCTTGAATCAAAAAGAATATTATGTCTAGGATGCATATTGAGAATGATTTGTAGATATATTCTAAGAATATTTCAAGCATATTGGTATAATATTCTTTTGAGAACATAACTATAACGCCTGTATTACATCTGTGTATTTTTCCGTGTATTTATTCATGTAGTTCAGGGTGACAACCAAAAAACTTCAAATGCATCATAAGTCAGCATTATAAAAAACAAAATAATGTTGGCACACTGAACTACATGAATAAATACACAGAAAAATACACAGATATAATACGGGCATAAAGTCATAGAAACATTCTTTGAATGTGAGAATATACATTTCAAGCATATTTTTAGAATCAAACAGGAATATTCTTTTCAGGATGTACTGAGAATCTTATAGGTATATTCTGGGAATATCCTAATGGATTTCCCAGGAAGTTCTTGGGTATTGCAAACAGTATTTCTACAATCTTTTCTCAGAACATTCGCAATGGTTTTGGCGAACATTCTAGGCACATTCCTTCTAAAAGAAGAACATTCTCAGTACATTCTAAGAAGCAATTTTGTTATGTGGGAACAGTCTTGTTGCAGTGCTGCAGAGAAGACCAAGTCATTAGATCAGACAACTACATCCACATTCGACCAACCATTGTATCTTAAAGCCCGAGAGATAATTGCATGTCGTGTGTCGTGTGGGAGATCCTAATTGAACAACGTAATAGTACGGCTTGGAGGCTTCCATTTGCTAATGTGGTTCATGGGGGTTGTGGGGTTTATAATGAATGGCAGTGGTCTTACAGAATTGTTTAACACAGTTTATGATGTGAACAGCACTGAAAAAAATATGACGGGATATGCGTATGCATGGGCTGTCAGAGCCAATGAAATTCACTCTGACTGGTTTGTGATTTCTGCAGAAACAGACCTTATATTGAGATAAACAAATCCTTCCATCTTTACTTGCTGAAATGCACAAAACACCAATTTCAGATTGTTTCGAAAATGTGATGAAAAACCTCATGAGTGTCATTCGAGTGTCGAAAATTGCCAAAACTACTCAAAACATCTCATACTCTACAAGAAAATCGTTCAAGTAAACTTTTCCGTCGCATCTCAATGTTATAAGTATTCTTTGTAGGCTTACTTGGTCCACTATACCAGATTTCCTCACTGAAGATGACACAAATGGAACACTAAGACGACCAACATGAGAAAGAAAAATTCCGAAACACTTGGAAGAATATGACATTAGACTGATGGCAGCACTATCAGTAGGCAGTAGGCAGATCAGACGTGCCAGACAATTATTATGGTAAAGCTATTGCAGGAGGAGGAGGTTGGAAGATAGCCATAAAAGAAGAAATGGACTCAATTGTAGAGAAAAGAAAATTATTCCAAAACCAGATAAAGTTGAAGTTATAGATTTGAAATGGGTTTTCACGGAAAAGATGGAAAAGTAATAAAAAAGGCAAGTCTTGTAACAAGTGGAAGCAGTCATGGCAAACGGTACTCAAATTCAAATAAAACAATTTGATGGGAAAGGATTTTTGAATTGGGAATTCAGGTTTAAGCTGCTTCTTGAACATCATGGAATTGCTGCTGAAAAAAATCTGCCTGACGAACAATCATCTGAGTACCTATGTAAAGTTTAAAAAGGATGATGTTCAGGTTCGTTACTTGATAGTCAATAGCTTGGCTAACAATATGGTGAATGGTAAGGCTACTTCCAAGGAATGAAAATTAACTTTAACTGATTCTGTACAATTGAGTCCAATTTTTCGGCTTAAGTGAATTTGAGCAGCATATACACCACAACTAAATGGTGTAGCCTAAAGATATGACAGAACCGTAATGGAAAGAAAAAGATGGCTTATACTTTTGAATCGAAAATAGAAAAATGTTTTTGGGGTAAAGCGTGAAGCTTTAAAAACAGCTTATCTATATATCTAATAAATCAAACTCCCCAAAGATAGTATTGAAAAATAAAGTTGTTTCGGATGGAATTTGGTATATGGTTATAAGCCTAATGTGGAAAAAAATTAAGTAGGAATTTGGATATGGTTCATGTACCAAAAGTAGAAAGATCCAGTAAGCTAGATGAGGTATCTAAACTGTTGTTCATAATCGAATATACAGACAATGGACATCGGCTCTGGGACAAAGGAAAATAAAAAATTGTGGGTTACCAGAAATGTTAAATTTAACGACAGTGAAGAGGATACCATGAATCACCATTGACAACAAAATAAAGAATTCCAAGAAGTGAGAGATTTAGAAATCAACAATAATGAGGAAATACAAAGTACAGGAAAAGATAGGATAAAGAGAAAAATAGGTCAAAAAATCAGAACATGTTCCGTTCCTGGATAAGCTAATAAATCAAAATGATCTAAACTCAAACTAAAGAAAGTACCTCAGCTCGCACGAATGGGGTTATTTAGGTGTCAACGTACTTAAAACAAATAGAAAATAAAAGGAACAATTTTCAGTAAATCAAACAAACCCGACAAATGCATTGGCACAGGCCGGGGTCCCCAACTGCACCCACAATATATTCCTGTCTGGGTGCGCATTCTTGGCATCGACACCGAGACAATAACACCGAGTTGCACCTCCGCACTCATTTATAACACTCGGTATATATTTAGATTTCACGATCAAAACTTACGGAGCAGCACAGGCGGGTATGAAGCGCTAATTGCCGTATTATGTCCGAGGAAATTTGTTTTTCGCTTCTACTCTATCGATTTGTAACAAAATTACTTAGACGTCTTAAGTGCTTGGAAACGTTTTAAATATATCCATGTTTACCAATTCGTTACTTTAATGAAGGTGCATTTATTTGGAGCGTTTTAGACCGTCAAATGCTCTATAGTCAAAAGTGGTTTCGTATATTTTTGCATCTTGGTCTCGATCTTCAGAAGGATTATCCATTTTTTTACTGTCGTCCTAATCAAATATAAAAACAAAAAATTTAAACACTCGCTTTGTCAATGTCGTTTATTTTTTACTATATTGTATTCATCCAACCCTTTCCTTTAACTCCCTAAAAAAATCTAGGTCAGATTTGTTTAAGAATACCTACACTCAAAAAAAGACAAATCTAAACACATCATTTCCCTTTCAATCGATTTGAAAAACGTCCCATAAAGGTGTAGACAGATTTTTATACATATTTTACAGGAGCAGGTAAAAAATAAATAGGGTTTTAAATCTTGTCATCTGTGGCCTTAAGTACACAATTTAGATGGCTATTAGGGAAATCGACTTCCGATTTAAGGGTTTTTGGTTCCCATAAGTATAATAAAGTCTTTTTAAATTATTCATTTAATTTAAATAATAAAATCGTATCTAAAAAATTTGCACACTTTCTTAAAACTTCCATTAGCTTATTGCTGGCAATAAAACGAAACTTCTCAAATTTTCAGCCGACAACTCCTTTCTTAAACAATCAGTACTTGCCATTTTCCAACAGCCCGTTTGTGGCCAAAACAATTGCCGACAACTACCCTATGCTTTTAATAACATTTTCCCTACGTTATATAACCTTATCTTTGTCTAGGCATTTGGATTTCCGAAGAAAGAGAGAAAAGGGAGTTGAGAGTTGCCAGAGTAAAAGTCCAAAACGGAACGGAGAAACGGCCGCAAGTTAAGAATAAGTGGTTTAACCTAATGTGAGGCCTCGTATAAGGGTGGTAAAGAAAGTTTTGTTTTAAAGGTGACTTTCTTTTTGTTTTGCGTATACATGGGGTCAAGGCATTTTGTTATAATATATAGAGTGAAAGATATAGGTATGTAGTTTGAAAACTCGTGAAAGAATATGATAGAAACAAAAGTCATGGGAAATAATAAATAATGAATAAAAAGGACAAATATCGACCCTATTCCAATTAATGGGAATTATTTCGGTCCCGCGTTGACATGACATATAAATTTTCGGGTCGCTTATCTGCCGCTGATATCGTTTGGTAAATAGGGTTTTTACAAAATTAATATGCTCCATAAAAACGGTGTCCAGAAATACAAATATTGTACATTTGATCGCCTGTTTGAGGGGAAAAAATGGGGGAGTTTTAGGACAGTAATCTAATCATCCAAACAACATGTCCGAATTTACGTACAAACTTTGCAATAGAAACTTCAGCTTGTAACTCGCTTATTCCCCTAAATATTTATTTAAACTTCTATATAGAGGCAGGAAGGCAGTTTTTATTTCATGAATTAACTAATCTTCATGTTCAATTCTTAAGGATGTTTGCGAAACTATTTCCTAACAGCAAGCCCTATTTCTGTACCTGCATCCGAATTTAACCACTGCCCTCCAATTTTCTCAAGCGAAGCCAAACACACATGGTAATCGTACCAGCTACCGGACAAGTAGAGGCTCTAAAGCGGACGTTGTGTGTCCTGATAATATATACGGCCGATCATATCTCTATCTATCTGGACTACAAGGGTTCCATTTGTAATCTTCCCCATACGTTTATTTACAAGTCAGCGTTTCAAGGTTTTAGACATTACGATTTTGATGTCTGTTTAGTCATGTTGAAATTTCAAATTTTCCTTCAAAAATTGGAAAATGTTAAAATCATGTCCTCTAGACCTTAATGAACTTGTATTTCCGGAACTACAACTCCAAATAGAACAAAATTTGTTGAAAATTAAACCTAACAAGACAAGTTGAAATTTAATATTTTTAAATGTTGAAATTTAGACTTAAAATGTTCAATGTAAGTGAAATTGAATTTTGAGTTCACTGCCAAGCACTGCAAATTTTCTAGATATTTTGTGCGTGACTCTGCTTCTAGTTGGTGTCCAAGATTTGTAGGCCCTTCCCAAAGGAGGCCATTTTACTGAGAAGTTAAGTGCCCACTTCTTGCAAAAGTGAGCAGGGCATTCACAGATTAAATGTAGGTAGGTACTGTAGTTTCTGTTGCTTGCATGTTCGCAAAATCTCTAATGGTTGTTGTCTGATTTGCCCATTGTTTTTAGGTGATACTCCACCAGGCAATGCCCAGTGAGCAGACCAACGACTGTATTCTAATGTCTTTTCTGTTCATGTTAAGAAGCTATTCAGATCTCTTTGCTGAGATGGATTTGAACCTTTTTGCTCGTCTCAGTAAAGCCAGTATTATGGTGCTGTTTCACAAAAGTCTATGTCTTCATCGTCGAGCTCCTTAAAATCGACAGTGTTTGTGTTGGCACATTTGCCCTTACACTCAGCGCAAATGTTTGTGCGAAATAATTCTGCTCGCCTGCAGCCACAGTATCCCATGCAATTATTTTCCCAATGGCAAGCAATTTTTCTCGAGACTGTATCAGGTGCGGGTGGCAGGAGTATTGTGACTGGCATCAGGTCGTTTGTCGACGATTTCCATCCCCACTGTTTAGCATTAAGCTGATCGTTCCTCAGCTGTCTGGCAGCAGCAGCAGTTGAAGGAATTGAAGCGAGGTTGGAAATTCTTTTGAATGCAGACAATAAATACTGCTTGTCCAAGGTGGTATCATGGTGATCACTACCATATGGAGCCCCCAGAAACTTTTCCCTGCATCAAATAGTGCTTCCTGATCAGCGTTGGGGTCCCTAAATCTCTCAATATGAAATTTGAGCTCAGGATTTTTTGTCAGCATTTTGAGGCATTTCACTTTGCCCTGCTTGTACAGTGCTGATGAGTCATAGCCACTGACTGCATGTTAAAACAAAATATGTTTAGTCACATGTTTGTCGATGGTGGTTGGTGGATGGTACATGGTTGGCCATGCTCTTTTCCTGGCTTCAGAAAGAACACTTTGGGATCTGTACTAATTCCAACCATTATCACAAGGAGGTCAACATCTTTTCCAACGACTGCTACACTTCCGTGGTGTGATGCCAGGCAGTTGTCACAATGAACGTATCAGCTTCAACTGATTGGTCTGTGGCGATATTGGCCTCTTTGAATTTTGTGATCAAGGTCGATATTAGTTCTTGGAGTTCTCAAGAAAATTATCTCATTCATCATTTAATATTCTTTCCACAGAGCACTTCTTGGTGGACTTTCTCACTCGCTCCATGTATTTGGTACAGGTAAAAACAGGAGAGCAGCCATCCCAGGAGAACGAGTGTTCCGTGTCTGGCATAATTTGAAAAGCTTTTTATAAAGTTGATTTGATACGCTTTCTCATACCACAGTCATCAAATAGTGCCAATGGGTATGGACAGAGTTCGTAGGACAAATACTCCTCCAACTCTTCATCTGACTGTTTTGTGATAGTCATTCTCTGGAACAGTGTGGTTGGGTTGATGGGAACAGATTGATTTCCGATAATAAGTGAATTGTTAACTAGGGCAAAGGACAGGATTCTGTCAGCCCTTTTGAATTTGACGGTCTCAAAATCACTTCCTACAATGGCCTTCATTCCTGTAACCCCAACTTTCCTGAACAAATAGCAGTTGATGTTTTCGTTCCCTACCAACCCATTACGTATCGACATCAGATCTGGTGTGTCTAAAAAGTGTGCAACAACTCCAACATTATTTTCATATCTTGATTGTCTCGTTTAATTCGGGAATCTTTGCTATCAACATGCTGCTCCGATGTTGTGAAAGTGATACCACAGAAAATGTCTAAAGCTTCGCAAACTTCTTGTTCAGCGACCATTCCTAGTGTCCATCTTGACAAAATACCATTACTGACTCCACGGTGTCGAGTCAGTCCCCCATCTGTTTCTATTTGCCTCATAAAAAACTGTTCAATATCACTCCATGTGCCACTCCCTAATTTGCCAGTTCGTCGAATCGTGAAGCTTTCTTGCGCTGTGAAAGCTGCAAACTCTCCTGGTGGCATTATGTCTTCCAAATCCCCCATATCCTGGAGGTACAAGTTGGTGCACTTAGCATAAAAGTATTGCCCACTTGCATAGAAATATGGGATCATGCTGTTTATGGTTTCTAGGTGGAGGTCCCAGTTATCCATTCTTTCAGATTAGATAAATCTCATTATTAAGTCCCCATTTCCAAATATTGCAACCACAATTTCGTTGTGGGTTCAAGCCGTGCCAATCGCTGCACCTCAGCTTCAAACTGTTGTTGCAAATCAATGATGCATTGTCGTTCGCATACTGTGAGAAGTTCTGAAAGGTCTCGACCATAAATTATCTCCTTTAAGTCATTCTGTATCGAGGGGGAAAAGGTGATTGATTCTATGATCAGTTTACCTGAAACTGTGTGAGCCATAATATGAGCTCTGACGGCCCTTGCATAGGCATAATTTTTTCAGTGCTATTTACAGCATCAACTGTGTTGAACAATTCTGTAATACCACTGCCATTCATTATAAGCCCCACGGCCCCCATGAAGCATAAGCAAATGGAAGCCTCTATGTCGTACTATAACGTTGTTCAATTCAGAATCTCCCACACGACATGAAATTATCTCTCGGGCTTCAAGATACAATGGTTCGTAGAATGTAATGAATGTAGTTGTCTGACCTAAAGCCTTAATTTTCTCTGCAGCACTCAACAAAGCTGTATAGATCATATCCTAATTGCTACGAGGACCGTTGATAAATGTATGGCTGGTTATGCGTGTGCTTTTATATGGCGTGTATCTCGGCACTTCTTCCATAAAACCATTCCATCCACCAACGCCTGGAAACTCCATATACTTGCAGTACAGCCACACCAAGTGAGGCAATAGGGGCCTACTTACACATATTATGCCACGCATTGTGTGAAACGTGTTGCGTCCGTCAAGCGTCAGCACATTAAAATCGGCGTTGTCGTAGACCATCTAAGAGAAGGCTGGTTAAGTTCAATGGTGGGATGCATTATTGATGATATCTCAAGACGTGTGGCTTCTGTGTACGACGAACAGAAACCCAAGGATGATAGCACATCAGTCAACCTGCGCGAACCATATTTTTCATATATTGTATAAATGCCGCCAGACCAAATTGTAGGAGTGATACAAACGACGAAGGCCTCACCACACTAATGAAGCTATGTGCAATAGCGGTCGATTTCTTTTTCCACTTTTCAGTATCACCACGTTTTTTATTTAGCGCGATAGTATCTGTTAACACCCTAAGAGTCTCAGGAATGAGGTTCGCCGCCCCATCTAGAAAATTATCTGGTAAGGGGTATTGAGAGTTGTCATACATTTGGCCCCGAATATCTTCAATAATAATGGCAGTTGTTGTTCGAACAATATGAAGTCTTTCTTCTCTTTCGTTTGAGCTCTTCTGCTGATACCATGAATCAGTGATTATTTTGTATCCTATTTTCTTGAAGCACACAACAAAAAGGGTGTTTACCTGAATAATCCTACCATTGCCATACTTGGCAAGATCACGTGCTCTCACTGTCTTGGGATAGGGCTTAGGATCACATTAAATTTTCCCTATCAACTCGTCCATTGAGAACTGTCACTCTTCATCTCTATTCTCTAGAAAAGTGTAAATCGGTTGCATACCAACATCTACCTGTTCTGTTATCCTGCCTAGTCTCACTTTTTGTTTGGGGATGCAGCCTTTTAAAAGACGAGAGATGATATTGCCCATCAGCAGCGACCAAGTTATTCACGGCCAGTAATCGTTGTCGTATGGAATGGGCTAATTCATCATTGCGGTCATGCAAGAGCCGTAAAACTTTGTCCATCCTCGTCACAAGATGTCTCGTTTGTTGGGTTGAGTTT